TGTCCTCAGCACCTACTGAACTTTCAGAGCCGTATAGACATTTTTACTCCCGGATAAGTCACAGACAGGACGTATGGATATTTGTCAAGATATAACTTTTCTAATATGTATAACGTGCTAGGTGTAGACCTGGCTTTCCCTGTAGATTAAAAAAAAAACAGGACCATTACTCACACAACATTTTACAGTGTTTCAGTATAATTTGAAGCAACATTTTTTTTACACTAGGGGCAAGATTTTACACACAGGTTTTAAACTTTTAAATACAGATTTCATTTTATTCCAGCCCTGTGAAATTTGTTTTAACCCTTGTGAAATAAAACCAATCTCCCCATTAGTTGCTGCTCACTATAAGTTTTGCCTGACATTTTATGCTGTGTGTGAACTTTTTATAGCAAAGTATGACAAATAAACCTATTTGTCATTTCTCTGTGAGGAGGAATTGAAGAGCACACTGTTCTGTTTATTAGGTCTTGTATATTAAAGCCGTTAAACTTCAGGGTCTGTTCTGGAAAGACTTTCAAGGCATGTGGAATGTTCATCTAGTCAGTGCCCAGAATCTAATGACACTTTCTGAGACAGTATAATCAAGAGACAGCACAGACACACAGTATACAGTACTGCACAGTATGTCTTGTGTTTGCAGCAAAAATATTTAACAATGTTCATCTGGTCTCAGTTGGTAGTTGAAAGAATTACTCAGGTTTTAGGGACAATAATGTTAGCATGCCACCTCCTTTTCAATACCTTATTTTGGAACATGGGTCAACAGTGATCTCAGTTTAAGAAGGGGTGGACCATACAGTATTTGTGCTGCTTGCTGTTAGCAGGACCACACTGGTTGAGAATTATTTTAGTGGAGATATGTAAGTTCACTCTCACATGTACACTTCTAGATAAGGATATCAACTTCTTAGTAATTGTGCCTTGGAAATGAGACAGAAAGGCAAAGCACCCCTTTTTACTTGTTTTGAATACTGTACATGAACAACACTGGATTTGGGAAGATCTGTGAGGTTCATGAAAGTTTACAGACTTTTTTTCCACAGCAAGCATGCAGTAAAGAAATTCTAGCAAGTCAAAGCTAGCGGTTACACAATACGATTGTAAAGTGTAATTCTAGTAAATATATGTATATTCTAATTTACTGTCTTACAATTCATAGGAAACTTAATGAAGGAAGATAAGGCTCTCTAATTGGAGTTTTTCACCAGCTTTCAATGGAAGAATTTTTTAAAAAATGTAGTTTCTATTATATTGTAATTTTTTAAAAATGGAAGACGAGCAATAATTAGTTGTGCAGTGTTGAGCACTTAACTTTTTTTTTAATGGAGTTTATAAGAAACGTTTAGCTGAAGGAGAGTGCTAGCCTCACCCATGCCTGCCGCCCTGTGCACCAGTATCAGGTTTCTAACACACCTTCCCAGTGTTTGTTGCTTTGCATCCTTCCCTGCCCATGCAACAGGTCCAGAGCTCATTCCTCCTGGGGGGGGGTTCTGGGGGCCTTGTCCAGCTGGCTGGGGTGAAACTCCCTCAGCCAGATGGGTTAAGACAATAATCAACATCTAAATTAATTACATCTGTCATTCCATCCCAGTTGGACTTGTCTTAACTACTGAAAAATGTAATAAAAGGTTTCCTTTCATACTGTAGATAGCTCGAAGCATACCTCGAAGCACAGTGAAGCCCATCATTAAAAAGGTGAGAAATTATGGAACAACTTTGAATCTGCCCAGAACTGGCCGTCCTCCAAAATTGAGTGTCCAGACAAGAAGAGCCGTAATAAAGGAGGCCACCATGAGGCCTACGGCAACTCTAAAGGAGTTAGAGGTGAGTGTACTCTGTGTGCTCTGGGTGATGGTGTAGAGGCTGCAGGCTGGGTGTGTGCTCCTGGAGTGAGGTGCTCTGTGTGCTCTGGGTGAAGGTGTAGAGGCTGCAGGCTGGGTGTGTGCTC